ACCAGCTTCAGGACAAGTTCACAGCATTGGGCAGTCCATCGCCATCGCACGCGGAAAGATAGATGGTCTTGGGGTCCCAGCTAGCCTCACCACACCAAAAGCAAACGCTAGCAGAAAGGACGTTCTTATGAGCTGTTGTCCAGCAGGACTTTGGAGTCGAGGCAGAGAAGGAATTTCTGGTAGACCGAATTGTACGCCGGCAAGAAGGTAGGTTTATATAAGCCATGTTGACGCGCACGGCCTAGACGTAAACCGTAAACATAGCTAGGTGGGAGCTGTGGATTGGCTCTTCGGTAACTTCAGTCATTACGACTACGGTTTGAAGCAGCTAGAAAAGTGAGGCGTTCGCGGTTGTCGTGCGCCTCCGCGATTTCGAGCTGTCAGAAAATGCTAGCTTCGGCCCCCCGTCCACTAGAAGCGATAACATGAGAAGCAGATACGAACACGTCGACAAAGAAAGCGGAGCACGCACATGCTGGGGCAACAACGGCCGCGGCAGCTGGTGGTGCTGCTGCTCCTCCTACTACTGCTACTGCTACTGCTACTACTACTACTACTACTACTGCGACGACTACTATTACTACTGCTACTACTACTACTACTACTACTACTACTACTACTACTACTACCACTACTACTCCTGCTGCTGCTGCTGCTGTTGCTGCTGCTGCTACTGCCGCCATCACCACCACCACTACCAATATCACCACCACTACCACTACCACTGATACTACTGCTCCTGTTCCTGGTCCTGCTGCTACTGCTACTGCTACGACTCCTGCTACTACCACTACCACTACAGCACTACACCGCCACGCCGCTACTAGCACCCCTAGCACCACCAGCACTACTACTACTACTACTACTACTACTACTACTACTACTACTACTACTACCACGACTACTACCACTACCACTACCACTACCACTACCACTACCACTACCACTACCACTACCACTACCACCACCACTACTACTACTACTACTACTACTACTACTACTTCTTCTTCTCGTCCTACTACCACCACCACCACCACCACCACCACCACTGCTACTGCTGCTGCTGCTACTACTACCGCTGCTACTGCCATCATGTGTTTCTGCAAGATGTGTGCATGTACATTTATGTAAGAAGGTTGTTTATGCATAATGGGAACGCCTCGGTCGTGTCGGTGTTACCTAAAACTTTCCGATCTCTGTAAACTCATGGAATTTGTTTGATTTCGGAGATGCATGGAATTAGTGTACAAGGCTTGTAAATTCTTGGTGTTCTGGTGTCAAATTGCATTAATCACGAAAGCTTTCTATGGGTGCAACGAAGGTTCACTGCCTTAAAACGCCCCTTTTCAAACAGTTTCTGTGTTGGGAGGGCCCTTGATTTAAGGGCCCCCCCCCTCACATGTACGGTTCGCATTGATTTCTGGAGGGGGAGGTCCCCCCCTCCCTCCCCCCCCCTTCCCCGTTGAAGGCCATGCTTGCAAGCATAGCCGTCTGTAGAGTTTAACGTTGTTGTTACTTGGGGAGGCTTGTAGATCTTGAGTCTTGAGTGTGAAGAGCACTGCAACGTGGACTAAGTGGCTGCTGAGCGGTGTCACACACGGCTCTGAGTTTTCACGAACATGCTTGCTCTGTGACAGAAATTATTACAGTACAACAAAGGTGTATCTGTGTGTGGGCCACTGTGAAGCAGAAGAACTGTATCATCTTGCAGGTTGATGCTTCATGGCAATACATATGTGCCTGCATCCACGGTGCCGAGCATGCACGCAACAACGACCAAGCTTCATCGACATTGCTTCCTGTTTTTGCCCTAGCTTTCGTGGCCTCTCCTCAAGTTTCATTAGGTGCGGTTTCACCAACAAGTTCTGACTCGCTTTAACGATTTGAAGGGCATCCCGGCCTTTAGGCATAGACGGAGCAAATTTGAAAACAAATTATGATGGGATGTGGAGTCAGAATGGAGGGCGAAAAGAAAAACAGAAAGCAGCCATACTGTTTGTCGTTTGCTCAAACTTCTTCCGAAGAACCCAGGAGATCGGCCTGTGGACATAGTTTCCTGCCATGCGAGAGTGAAAAGGCAAAAGACAAGAAGCAGCCAGCGTTTGCGACATTTCGTGCGACAAGCAGAAAGGAGAAGCAGTTAGGAGGGACAGCGAGGAGAGTGCCGATGGTTGTCACGAGAAAACAGGGGGGAAGAAGACAGTTGTTTTCGTTGTCCGTCCGTGTCCCTTCTTCGTTTTGTTGTACTTCAGTGCAAGAGCGGAAGAGCAGGACGATTTTTTTTGGGTTGTATCTTTGCAAGATCTTCACCGCAATTCGGCAATTGGTCAGTCATTCTTTGTTCGAAGTTGCCTTTTCTCCCTGCATAGTGTGGTTATTCAATAGAGACAAGGAAAGTGAGGGCGAAACAAGAAGACCAAGGTCCATTTTTTTCGCCTTCCGCCATGTATTCTCTTCATTCTGTTGTGTCGCCCTCCTCCACGTCGTCTCGGTTTTGAAGAGGATGAAGCAAAAAACGAAGGAACACATCAACGATGATACCACGGGATGTCTGTTTTATCAAGGTATTCTCGTCTTCTTTTCGAAAGTGTTGGCAAATGACAAACGTTCATGAAGGACAGGGCAAATAGCAAATGAGCCTCAAGTGTGACCCTGGTTTATTATCCGAGCCGATCCTAACAAGACAGCACACACGGGTTCTTTCTTCAACCTTACCATGTTCCTCCCTTCTTCTCTTTCTCTTTGCTTTTCCGGTGTGCCCTGAGCACAAAAGTCTGCGCGGGCAACAACAGCATCTGCCCAGGGCAACACCTTGGGCGGACTTAAGACGTTGGGATTGCCACGACCAACGCACAAACCCTAATCCTCACGGAGGACAAAGGCTGGGCCTGTTGTGCCGTGAGCAACATCTTCAACATTGCCTTTTCATGCTTGCATTTCCATTTTCTCTACGCATGTGAAAAAGGGAAGACTAACAAGAGAATCGCACTGTTGTGCGAAGGGATTCGGTAAAGATTGAGAAACACAACGACAAAAACACAGCTGCTTGAAGGGATAGCAGCTCCACAGTGGATGTACTCGTCTGATTGCCTTCCTTGTTCAAGAAAGGAAGCACAGGACGCTCTTCGTTTGCCTCTTGTTGTCTTGTTTGCTTCCTCTTCAATGGTTTGGCAGACGCAGAAACCACAGCAAAGAGAAATCGAACAGACCAATGAAGACCGCGCCTTGCTTGCTTGCTGCTCACCCGTACTCTTGCAACTTGGCAATTGTCGGTTGTAAGCTGTGTTTCCCATTTCTCGAGATTTCTCTTCAGCTAGTTCGGGGCATTTGCAAGATCGAACTCCGGGTGTTGTGGTGTTCTGGGCTTGACGTTTTCTAACCCCTTTTGGCGGGCTGCCTGGGAAGTACTAATACCAATAATGTGTCAACAAAGTTATGTTGATTAAGAAAACCGCTGTGGGGGTCGTCATGCCTTGTTGCCTTGCAACAAGACAAGGCCGCCCTAAGGAAGGGGGAAAGCACAAGGTCTCCACTATTCAATGTTTTTTCGTGCATGTGGAGGAGGAAGGAAAGGAAAGACAGTGGACATTTTGGTCCTTTTTGTACGTCTTAATTCTAACCCAACTGTTCTTTCCCAGTGCTGATCCTGTTTCGGCTCTCTCTCTCTCTCTCTCTCTGTCTACCTGTTCCTGTCAGAGCGAAGGGAACCGACGCAACCAGGAAGGGGGAAGCCAGCAGAGTGGTTTCCGCTGATCAGGTCGCTTCTTTCACTTGCATGGAAGATAAACGAGAAGTACGAAGAGGAAGAAAGGCTGTTGCAGAGGATGGGAATGTGAAGAGAGAAAAACAGGTAAGATAGGGCCCCGGCGTGCTTTGTACAGTCTTCCGACACGTTGGTGGTGTTGTTGTTGGGATCTGGTGTAGTTGACCATGTTGTTGTTTCAAGAACCACTCGTCGGAGCAAAAACCAGATATGCTTTTTGTTTGAGCCTCTCCGTTTCTGGAAGTGTGGTCTGGCAACTCAAAGAAGCACTGCTTGCACTGCCATGTTGCCCAGATGGAGCCGATGAATTTCGACTCGTGCGCTACACCATGTACGAGCTTTGATCCCATGTTAGTATAACAAGCTGGTTCACATTATACATACAGCACCGTGCCACTTGTGTTATTTTGCCCGCGGCCTCCCCACCCTCCCCCCAGAGGTCAATGGTCCGGATTTAGGGCGGGCCCCCCTCTCCTGTGGTGTGGGGTGTTGGGTCCCTTTTCCCCCTGTGGGGTGGTTTTGGGGTTTTGGGGTTTGGGGACTAGCTTAAGCTTTTGAGTTTTGGGTTTACGGTTACAAGTACGTCGACAAGGGTTTAGGGAAGATTTGTGGTTTATGTGCTACTTTAGGCTTGGAGCCTGCAGTTTGGTGGGGTTTAGGGTTGGGTGTAGGGGTTTAAGTACAAGTTAAGGTTACTCAAAACAGGGGCTCGCGCTGCGTTTTAGGATCTACGGCTTGCTTGCGAAAGGCTTTCGTGTGAGCCCTGGCCGCCAGCATTTTGATTCAGTTAGAAGGAGAGCTTCGGGCTTGGAGTGGGGGTTTAGGGTCGTGGGTGCCTTAAAATTGACCATCAGCAGACGGGAGCAACCCCACAAAAAGAATCCACCACAAAAAAAAACGCATTGAGGAGGCCGCCGTTTTTTTGGTGTATCGGCTCGAATAAGGAAAAAACAGAGTAAATAGGCCCACTTTCTTAAAAGGCCGCACACTACACATACCCAGATATACACACGTTATGCTCGTTTCAAAGGCTTTCAACATGTCGAGCCCCTACGGACAAGCCAAACCAAGCTGAGAATGCTAACTCGTAGAAACAATTGCGCGGAAAACCATGCGAAACAGAAAATGCAAGCTACACCATCTCTACATCCAGAAGCTCCTGACTACTTCGGAGAACTCACATCCGTGGCATGCACCGACACGCATTGCCTTGTTGCAACAGGTATCCCATGGAAAGATGATAGAGGGGGGCACTGTGAAGGCATCAGGACACTGACGCACCAGCAGAAGAGTGTGGATTTGCGTAGAGTTTGAGTCAAGTTGCACCTGCAATTCGTTCAGGTGGTGTGCCCCAAAGGCTCTGCAGGCCAAGGGGTGTACCTCTCCTGCGAAGGCCCAACTCTCAGTTCTGGGGTGCAGGACTTTTCTTCCACCTTGTGTTATCTTCCTCCCTTCGTATGACGAGCGGTGTGATTATAGGTGGGTACATCAATGTCACGGAAAGCACTTGCCAGCGCTCCTCTTTTTGCCCGGTGCCGGTCCCAACAGCAAGAGTGGCTCAGAACACGAAATGCCTCAGCGCTTCACATGGCTCCGCGGCGAGTGCCGAGGCTGGCGTGGTGACATCGGGCAGCGCAGAGGCCGATGACGGCAGTCCTCACCACGTGCTGGTGGCCGATGCAAGACAAGGTTCCCTATGATAACCTGGACGACAAAGAGCTTCTCATCCTCGCCACGGGCCGAGCAGACCAAGTTGAGCTTCGGATCCGTCAAAAGGAATCACTGGATGGACAGTCGAATAGCACAGTGGAATGGAACGCAATGCAAAACGGGACAATATGGACAGAATGAAATGCAACGGATGACATGAAAAAAGTGGATTGACATGCATGTTTCAACATAGTAGGCGAATGGATGAACGAATGCATGAATGGATGAAATGCAAGAAACGGAATAATGAAAGAGTCGAAGACATGAAAGAAATGAGTGGAAAGAAAGAATGGACTGTTTGAATGAAATCAATGAACAGAAGGAGATGAAGGAATGAGTGAGTGAGGGAGTAAAGGAATGACAACATGAAGTTACCTGACATTGAGAGGAAGGAGGGGACGGACGGACTGAAATGAAATGAAGGAATTACCGCTCTAGGCTTGTCCAGATGGCTTTTCTGGGCCTGAGCCTGAAGCAGCAAACGGCGGAGAATCGCTGGAGTTGAATTAAAAGTTTGAGCCTCGACGATTCGAGGTCTTTGAACATCGTCTGCCACAAAGGTGAAGTGGAAGTGGAGCGAGGTAGCTGCAGACAAGGACACGACGGAAATAGGCTGTGAGCTGTGAACCCAACTTTCCAATAAAAAGCGCGCTAAAACCGAGGATGTGAGCCCGGCCTCGTGGCATCGGCAGTTGCCCCGAGCAATCCCGCGACTGCACAGCCAAAAGGACACGTCATTCTCGCTTGCCAGGTCCAGGACCCTGATCTCGCCGAACCCGAAGTTCTCAGCATGGCGCAGGGTCCCCGGACGCTCTCCGGGGCCAGAACACGTCAATGGGGACACCCGTACAGACGAGGCATGGCTCTTTAGCTGACGGCGAGCTGGTGCGGTTGGAGTGTCCCGACGGTCGTGATCTCGGTTGTTGCACGATTGTTGCCGGCAAGATGGTAGGGAGAGGCACAGAGCGAGAGAGAGAGAGAGAGACGTGGCTGTAGCTGTGTCTGTGTGCTTCCCGACCCGACGGAAGGCTATGTGGGGCATGTGATGTACCGGTGCCTTGATGGCCAGCGGTCTCAGTGCTGAACCGACTTGATGTAGTAGTCCGGGGCCGCTAAACCAACTCCGAGGCAATGTCAGCCAAGCCTGCGAAGAGAGTGACACGGTGATCCCGGAAGAAGCAGAAGCAGACATTCAGCACGAGGGTGACGATGGGGACCTGGAAGCCCCAAGACCTGAGGACCACGAAGAAGACCCTGCGCCTTTCGACACTGACGAACCTAAGTGTGCATGCCGCTTGGTTGCCTCGACGCCTGCGGCTGGCTCCGCCGGCTCTCCTGGCGGCGACGTGACTGCCGAGGCTTCGGGACTTCTGTAACGCTTCGCGAAGACAGGTGGTTCTTAGTCTAGGTTTTCATGGTTTTGTCCAAACTTATGCAAGCGATCCCTCCCATTTACAGGGAGGCACACACGTATGGCGATGAACTTGCAAAGCTGGAGGGTCCATCAATCTGTGTCTCAGGGCCTTCGTTCGGAGCTGCCTGTGGCGGCACTGGCTGCGGCCGTCACGGCCGCTGTGCTGCCACGGTCTCGGCTCCCTGCATCTTGCGACGGACAGCGAGCATGTGCCGCAGCAACGCCAGCACCTCTCCATCACCACGATCGGAGACACAAGTCAGCACAAGCGCAGTGGCCACGAGAGACTCGAGAGACTAGACCCACCAGCCACAAGCAACAAGGCGCAAGCCAGCATCCATGTACTGGTAAGGCGAAATGCTCAAAGTTTGGGGTGAGATTGTAGCTTGGGGACTCCAGAAATAGGACTTTGGTTGCTCGGCTAAGTATGGTTCAAGCTTCGACATCGTGGAGGGAGGTGCAGTCAGTTGCGCTGACTGATCTTGGAGTGTGAAGACCTCCTCCAGGGTGTTTGGACAATCGCGGACAGCAAGTCCTCGAGGGGATGCTCGAGCTTTCGCCTCTAGGAGAAGTCGCATTGAGATCGGTAGGCTTGTTGGGCTGCGCTCGAGTCTCAGGTGAGTCGAAGGTGCAATCTTTGGAGAAAGCAATCGATGGAAATTGTCCGACTCTGGGGTCGGAAGCAAACAGGCTTCGGCAAGCTTTGGGTGGCACAGACAGAGTTCTGGTTCCTGCATAAACAGACAAGTGTTCACGGCTTCTTTCCTTCATTGTGCTTGCAGTGTGCGTCTTAATCTTCAAGTTAAGGTTGCTGGTCTTTACCATGGGCCTGCTGCGGCACCGTCTGCTGAAGCGCAGGTTTGGAGTATCAGGTTTTTCAGTGAAAGATGCAACATGACTCAACTCCCAAGCTTTTCCGCGAAGGGCGATGGCTGCTGCCGTGGCCGCTGCAGTGGGTGACATGCCGACGGGGCCTCCGCTGACCCCTGTGGCTCCTCCTGCCCTTGCCTGAAGTTCTAGCGAGGAAGACACAGATGCAAGACGCTACTTGAGAGGCGTCGGCCTGCGCCCTGGGCCTGCCGAAGGCCAAAGTCGGAATTTCGGGAGCTCCACACATGTCGTAGGAAGAAGTCTACATCTCGCGGCTCTCTGAAGAGAGGTGGGCTCCTTCTCGGGGCGTTCCGCCCGCTCCACGGCCTCAGCTCCAACGGCGGCCTCCAGCCACACGCGCGCCAGGCCAGGGACCCGCACTCCAATCCCAGCTGGGACACCTTGTGGGGTTGCGACGCCTGAGATGACACTAAAACCAGGACCGAAGAGTGCATCGACTTAGCCGCAGCCTCAGCAAAAACGGCCAATCATTTCTCTGATTTTCTCTGTGAGTGGACCTGTTGCACCTGTCGTTCCTGGGGTGTGGCGGTCGGGTCCAGTGTACTTGACAGGGGAGAACTCCGGATAAAGAATCTCTCGTCCCCGCCATATCTCCTCGTTTGATTCAACGGCAGTCTGCATGGACACTCGGAGGCGAATAGTTGGCAGCAGCAGTAATTATCCACTCATGGCCAGTCAAGATGGAATCACAGTCATTTGTCCGGACGCAGTGGTTTTAACGACCTCAAACACTTTCAGTTTTGATTGCATTGGAGGCACGGTAGTAGGCAAGATCGAGGTTTCTATCAGAATCTGCACAGCATCTTGGCGCCCCCTGTCTTGAAGACGCTTGGATGTCCAGTGCCACCTTCTGCGGCAACCAAAGCAGAGGAGAGCCATCGCCGACTTCTGCGTCTTCAGATGTGCAAGGCAGTTCGACAGCACGCATGTCCTGGAGGTTTAAGACATCAGACGGAGAGGGTGCACGACTCCAAAGTCTAAGTCCTTAAGACACGTGGAGGCAAGCTGAGGCCGTCGCGGAAGAATGTGTGACATGCAACGTACACATGACACGATGGATGCATCTCTGCTCCCGAACGGGGCGTGAAAGCTGGCTGCAACACGCCCGATTCAGTGAGCACGGACAAGGTGCTGGCGAGGTTCACTCTTCGCGCCCTAAGACGCATGACGGCAGTGTTTCAGCGCGCCATAAACGGGCCTTGTCGTGCGCTGTTGGCATCGTAGATGTCCTCACAGATGAAGGGTTGCAGTGTGATTTTGCAATTGCCAGCATGGCACTCTGTTGCATGCATGTCAAGGCACTGGAAACTAGCGAGTTGTTTCTGTGTTGGTCGAGCTGCGCTGCGACATCTAAACCGCTGCCGCACGACATGCACTGCATCGAGTCGGCAACGCGGCTGCCCCTTCAAGTTGTCTCGCATGGCTTGTGCGGAGCCAATGGCGACTTGGCGTCATGGTCCAGGAACCCAGCACCTACAGCTTTAGCTTTTGCGGGGTGGCGCAGCTGTCGCCGACCCCCTCTCGGAATGTTGGGGGCTCCAATCGCAGGCGAAATGCTGTTCCCATCACGGAGGTTTCAGTGGGCTTCAGAAGCGAGCTTGCAACAGGGTGGAGTAGAGATCCGAATGATCCGTGATGCTCATGATGCCTGCCCCGGGTAGCCGCTAGCCTCTGAAGTAGCAATGAGATACCAATGAGGGCTCCAACCATCCACCGTACAAGTACCCTGCCAAAGCACTCCGGATGATGCACAAGCTCGAACACGAAGGGCGATGCATGTTATCGGCGGCAGTCGAGCGGGGCCGGTCCGTGCTTCAAGCCACTCTGTTATGTACATTGCTCCTGCGAGAAGCTGCTGTTTCAGAAGCTAGATACTGCGGTCACCATAATCCACAATTTCAGTTTGATATTTTGTGTAGTTTAATTATGTGTTTCGATCCACTGACGGCACACGTGACCTCAGCGTGGGCCTCACCTTTCCGAGCACGAGTGCAGCCGTTCCGAATATTCACAGCAGGATAAACATCAGAAGCCAGCTGCCGTCAAGCCTCTTCGGGGGCAGACTTTCCGATGAATCGTCGACCCATTAGTTAAACTCGGTTGGAAGCGCCTGCATGTTGCTTGGCACTTTAGGCACAAATTTCGAACGTACTGGCTGCATTGCGGTTACAGAGTGCTGACCGGGCGGATCACCAGGTCATTGACCAGCTGACATTGCCACCTTACTGGGCAACCAGGCGGAACCTGTTTCAAAAGACTGGTTGGATTATTCCTCTCCAGCAGCAGATACTTCACCGGGCCTGCGTCCTCAGGGATGGTATCCACATCTTCCCAGACCCGAACCGGATCGCCGAGGCGCCACAGTGACCGGGTAGTGACTGGGAGAAAGCTTGCGGCGCAGGTGCAGCAGCTGATGAACGACACTTGGCGGAGCCGCTACACGCGGGCAGGGGCCTCTGCACGGGGCCCTGTCTTGTCCATTCTAGAAGCTCTGCTGCTGGCAACTCGGTGACGACCGCAGGACCGCTGGCTCGTGGCAGGCGCTGAGCGCGTGCCGCTGGGTTGCCGCGTTGCGAACCTCGGCTTATACAGTCGAATGAAGAATGCTCGTCCAAACATGTCTCGACAGTTCTGCAGCAGGGGATACATGTTTAGCTGCGGTCAGACTTGAGATGCCGGTCAGTGAGTCCTCCCAGGAGGAGCTTCGCGGAACGTAGCTCTCTGCACCAGCACAACTCACAACTAGTTCCTTTGGGTGCAGCCGTCGGACAATTAGTGGAATTGTTGCGGCCTTGATTTCTCTGGGGCATGGCAATGCTGATCTTTACGGAACGTCCTAGTGTAGCCGAGAGGTTCAGGTGATCGATAAGGGTGGGGGTGGGAATGTTGAGGAAACAACACCGTTGCCTTGAGGGCCGGGGAAACATTGATGATTGTAGCACCATGGCCTTTGCTGCACTCTCTTGCAACTAATGGGGGGATGCCCGCTCAGCCCTGGTTTGTCGTGTTAGTCCAGGCCTTAGACAGTCTTACTGCTGATCAGGTGGCTATAACCTCTACTTTGTTCGAATTGGGGGGGAGTCGGTTGCTGCAGGCACTTAGGATATAGCCGTAGAGGGCACGGTGACGAGGCAGGGGGACGCCCTGGGCGCGGGTCCAGCCTGCCTGGACCTTGACCCACAGCAAGCAAGCAAGAAAGAGAGAAAACCCTAAAACCCAAACAGCCCCATAGCTGATAAGAGACGAATCCAAACGCAGGTGCTGACAACTTTGAAATCACACCGAGATTGCGGGGCAAGTGCAGTGTAGTTTGTGGTTTGCCCGAAACCGCAGTCCGGAGGAAAGGGCGAAATTAAGATCAATCTTGTCCACAAAGGAGGCTCTTCTAAGCCTAAGGCCCACAGCTGACATAGAGCACGATTAGCGTGGGAACGTGTTCGCTGACGGGGTTAAGGTATTGGGCTACGCAGGTCCCCCACCTCCTCCCGAGGCCTTCCTTTTCCTTCACACCACCACACGTGGTGATCACAGTGGGTGGTTTGTGCATGTCACCAAGGCAGCTCAAGTCTTGGGCGTGTCACCGCTGGATGCTTTGGGAAAGACTGCTGGGGGCCCATAGGAAACCGGCAGGGAAACACCCCCCACGCGTAGGGGGGCCCAGAAGTAAAGCTGTAGAATACCTACAAGCTTTCGTTACGGACACAACATGCTCGGCTAGGCGGGGACGCTGCACATGAAGCATTGAAGAGTGTTTGAGTATGCAATGGGGAGGGCCGGATATCTGGAGATCCACCCAACCTGGCCTAACACCAAGCACATGTCTCACACCAGACTCGGACACAGGCGTAGCGCTCGCGCGCAGCCGTGCTCTGCCTCCCACACGCCCTGCAAGCAAGCAAGCAAGAGATAAGGAGCGAGAGAGGGAGAGTAAAACGTGTGATACAGCAGCCGAGTTGTCATAGGGGATTCCTCCGACACAACAATGACAAGCAAGACCTGCAAGAGGGCTTGCTGCCCAGACGGCCCCATTGGCCCTGCAAAGGAAAAGACAAAGCGCAGATTGGCTAAAAGAGCGAGGCTTTAGCTTTTGCCAAGCAAGCAACCAAGCGGAACAGGCCAAAAAAGAGGGACCCGGAGGATCTATTGCAGCCCTTCGTAAGCAAGCGGAGACCAGCAGCACCGCAACCAGGGTTTTCCCCAATGCCGACTTCTGTGGACCACAGTAAGGGAGTCGTGTGGGCCTGTGCACACTAGTCCTATTGTTAGGGATTGGGGCCGCAGACAAAAGTTGGAGAAACGAGCGTCAAAGAGGGGAAGCAGTTGTGAAGTGTCATTTGGGGCGCGAGTGCGCCGGGAGGGTACTGAAACAAGACAACGGTCAGAACATGTAGCTTCAACGAAGCAATTGCAATGATTTTGTCGTAGCTTTGTTAAAGGTTGCTCATATGCTTGCTTACGATGTTTTTAGTGTATGTTCGACAGCCGTTCGACATGCTCGCTTGAATTGCACAACAGATCCTGAGTCATCGTCTCTCCACAGCAGCAGCTGTCATGCACAGTTCCTTTCAGGAATGTGCTGCGTGTGGAGAATCACCGTGCCTTCACGCGCTATGCCAATTACAAGGCACTGTCTGCAAAAGAGTCCCATAGGACACGCAGATTGCTTGCAGGACGGCCTTCGGATGAAGCGATCGGGCCCCTGTTCCCCTTTCCGTGTTCAGACCAGCGACAGGAGGGAGCGGGGGCTCGGAAGGGAGTGCAGCTGGCGCTGTTGGTCATGATGGAGTCCAGACAGGATCAATTTGTTGGATGATGAAATCAACGAGCGCCCGGCACTGAAAGAGTTTTGAGTCGATGCAGTACCCTCTTTCACGCCCCTCCTCGCGAGGCTACTTGTTCCACGGTACCAACCCTGAGTCGGCTCAGTCCATCGCCAGGTTGACCGAGCGAGCTTTAGGGTACCGTGTTGTGCTTGCAAACACCTCAATCCTGAAAGCTTATAACTGTTTCAGTCAGGGCTGGACGGAAAGATAGTTACTGGACAGTTTCTTGCCCGAAACGGATAGGCCTAGTATCCATTTTTCTGACTGATATCCGAGATCTCAGATTTGAACGACACCCTGCATGTTTTACATGATGTCGGAAGTTACAGGGTGTAGCTAACCTCGGAATCCTCAATTGCACAAGACTTTACGATGTTGGATATCGGGGGTACAATGTTGACTCAGAATTCGGTACACTTCTACAACGTTGACACGTAGATTTTGATTCACATATCCAGATCGCAGCCCAAAATTTCAAAATACAGTGCAAGCTATGGTCCTGCAAACAGCAGTGCTTGCACTGACTAGCCTCAGTACCTGTAGCAGATAGAACCTCTCCCTGCTGAAGCAGTTGCCCCTACAAGCGTGTTTCTGTGCTTGAAACCGTCTGCAAGTGCCTGGAGGCGTGCTTGTTGAAGCATTACACAGTTATACGCCGAGAGCCGCAAAGACTGTGTAGAGGCGTGTGGAGGCTCAGGGGAAATGTAAAGAAGCGCAGAGGGAGAATCAATGCAACAACAGCTCCACAACAGACGCTTATGTAGATGCTTACGCGACACTTGGATGTAATCTCCCTCCGCCGTGCTCTATTCGATCCGGGCCTGCAGGGACTTGTTCAAGATGGATCGTGCGGGCAGCTGCGCTGGCAGCATGTTTGGCAGAGGCACGGTCAGACCTGGGTTCCAAAGTGTCATGACACGAATGTCTGCGTCGACAGGCATCTATTTGGCGGAAAACGCGTGATGCTGAGGAAAGTGTGCCTGGCAACAAGATGCCCATGTGCTATCAGTGCCCAGGCTAGCAAGAGCGACGAGTACGCAAAGGAAGGCCACGATTGCATTCGTGGAGCCTCGCCAGAGCAAACGTTGCGGGAGACAGGTGCAGGGGTCTACCTGGGCCTTTGTGCCATGCTGCTTTGCCGCTGCGCGATGGGCGAAGTCCTCACCGTGCACGGGACCCCGGAATTTCGTCGATACCGCGCCCATACTTCATGTTGGGGGATCGATAAGTGCGTGGCCAGGTCCCAACCAGGTGACATTCAGGCGCCGACTTCAGGACTCGCTTTCGAGGGTGAATACTGATGCTTGACTCGCTTTTAAGGAGACGGTGCGTGCCGGTGGTTACGACTCCGTGGCTTGCTCGCAATGTCTCCCTAGCCCCGTTGAACAGCGCAAGGATCGTTCAAGATTTTACTGGAGTTTGTGCCAGTCATAAGATCCTAACTTGTAATTTTCCACATTCCTAGGTATGCGGAGATCGGCTGGCGGCGGCTGGGACATTCCGAGAGATGGTTTTCTTCAACGAGGAGGAACTGAGCTTGCTGCTTCCGACATAGTGGAAACAGACGGAGAAGCATGTCTCTTGCCCTCTCTCTCTCTCTCTCCCTCTCCCTCTCGCCACCATCTTCCACTTGGGCGTATGCTGTGGCCCTGAGACTTCTGCCTCGAATTTTGCATCCTAGCTGTTGCACAGGCTGTGTACGCAGAGTTCATTGTGATTTACACCCGCGTCTTCGAGTGAAGGAAGCACATGCGGGCGGGGAGCAAAGGGTTGGGGAGGCCCCCAAGGTGACGGGGGGCCTGATCTCTGCTTGGAAGCTTGAAGCAGAGCGGGACGGTGAAGAAGCCAAGATGCGGTGCTACTAAATGCCAGGATCTTTCGTCGTGTGAGATTTGGCTGCATGCCGAAGGGCGTTCCTTGAAGGAATGCAATTCAGAGTGGTCCAATTCGAAGGGTGTGTACAGTATACCCTGGTACACCTAGTCACCAATCTGGTCCCCAATGTGGCAAGTCGAGTCGAATAGTCTTTGCAGAACGGCTGGGCACTTCGACTGCTGCGCAGCTGCGGTGAGTTAAATGCAGTTGTAGCTTTGCTAACGATGGCATGTCTAAAGCTCTGCTCTGATGTGTTGTGATGTTGTAGCCAAGCCGGGTGCCCTCGGGTCTCGGACAAAGGCCAGGCCTGCAGGGCTGCGTGCACAAGACGCGCAGGAGGACCCTTTCAAAGCGGGGAATGCAGAAAGCAGAAAACTCGAGAACGTTGAGCCTTGTTTATTTTCTTGCTCTTGAGATCACCCCGCTTGAACCGGGCCCCGCCTTGGGATGATGGGTTCACGCGAAGAAGCGCTTTTCGACGTTTCACCCTACCAGTAGCGCAGAGAAGCGGAGACGTGCCACCAGGAAAACGGACCTGGCACGTGCAACATGTTGCAACGATGGTTGAATGCAAGGGGGGCTTCGCCTTTCCCGCTTGCCCCGGATTCCCGGATGTTATCCGACGGGATTGCCGACAATGTCACCGAAGCTCCTCAATGCTGGCTTCCTTAAACGTGCTCGCGTTGTTCCGTTTGTCAAGTTCCGATGAGTTTGCTTTCTGCATGCGCACGGAGAGTGAATGTGCATCCATCTTCGCGACATTAAAGTATGCATGGCCAGCCCCGCAACAAGAAGTTTAACACCATCATTTGAGAAGGTTCCCTAGTTATAGTTGTTGCCAGCGAGTAGTAGCTTGTGTTGGTTGTTCTCAAGCTTCGCCGAGCCACTCCTGACAGAAACTCTGCTGGAACAAAGCCAGGCAGAGTTTTTTCTGGACGAGACAACGAATACTCACTGAACCACACGGCGGCCATGAACATTCATGGTTTGAGCCATGCAGCCCTCAATGGGCTTCGCCAGAGGCTGAACCAGATGATACGAACCCCAAACCCGAAACCCGGTGAACGCGGAACCCCGAACCCAGAACAAAGACACGGAACGGACCCGGCACCCACAACCCCGCCGGAGCTGCAGCATCAACAGCAAGCAGCAGCCACCTGCCGCAACTATTGCTGCTGTCTGGTACGCTCAACAAACAACTAGACAACAGGCACGTGGTGCTTGGCTTGGGGGGCAAGCAGCACTCTAGAACTCTAGAAAGTGCATGCCCGAACCTGACAGTCGGAATCTCATCCTGGTCCTATGCGGTGCTGTTGACATTGTTTCTTCAAAGGCCGCGGGCGCAGGTGGACCTGCTGGACACCAAAAACTCATATTGCTGTTCCCTAAGAGAGAAACCCTTATTTGGGGTTGGTGATCCCTATCAGCACATTCCCATGAAGCCTTTAATTTGGGATGCTTCTGTGTATGTGAATTTGGTGTTTTAAGCTTAGGACTGCAGCTTTGCTATCGTGAAGGATCAGAAGTGTAAGCTTAGGGATATGGCATGATATGGCCCTAAATCCCAGACGCGAAACCTTAAGCCCTTACGAATTTCGTGGCACAAAGCAGGAAATTCAGCAACGTCTTGGACGTCGTTTTGTTATCGTGCGGCGACACTGCATGTGTTTCGATCATGTGATGAAGCTTGCTTGGCTCAGAGGTCTCAGCTGATTTCAGGTGTAGTAACTTAGGGGTTTAGAGGGTTACGGTTAAACACTTCAATTGACAAACTCCTTGCTTGGGGCCAAACACTTGTCTAGGAATGTGTCGAACAGGATCCACCCGCAGGACAAAGCGCATGCAGTAGAAGATGTCTCAAACGGCCAGCACAGGGCAGATGTGCACATTCCAGCGCAGCAGGCCTGCAAACTCCGCACAGGCATCGGTTATGCGTTGTTTTGGCAGAAAACACGAACTGGGAACAGCTATCATGCGACCTGCAGTATATTGATTGCCAGGACTCTCTCAACCTGAATAGCGCACGCTGCAGCTTCGTGTGTCGGTCAGCGGCAGCGAGGTGGAGTTACGTGTAAGCCTGGCTGAGGGCAGGCAGCAATACTAATGAAGAAACAGATTCTGCCGGGCGAGACAACCTAGTCTTTTCTTGCCGTCCAGAGCCAGGCATCTTTGCCCAACTACCCGCACGTCCGCCCCACTCGGCCAGCCGGAGGTCTTGGAGGGAAGCATCATTACTACTGCGGCTCTTAATTCAAGAAAGTGTCTGTCTGGTTGTGCAAGCGTGCTCACCAACAACAAAGCAATCAGTAGCTCCGTGATGATACCACCTGCTTGGCAGCTGCTGGCCATTCTGAATAGTACGCTGGCTTTGGCTGCACCACCTGAGCCGGAGCCTGCAGAGAAGGAGATGCCGAGGATGCGGATAGGTTTGCTGGACACGATATCGGACAGCAATTTCTCCTAAGCTTGGCAACATACTGGGCACCAGATGGCGGCGAGAGCAAGGGAGATGCGGACGGCACGCCAATGGTTGTCTTGTCGCCACGGCCTCAGTGGGCTAGGGTCGTCACGAGAGCTTAGTAAGATCTCTTGTGGGGCCAAGGATGGTTAAGCAAGTTTGACAGGCTTGGGGAAGGCCAAACGCCGAGAGTGTGCTTGATATCGCAGATTTCGATGCGGAGGCCCCGCAGAGTCAGCTTGCTTTGACCGGAGGAAGTGATACAGAGTGCCACATCGCCCGCCAGAGGAACGGGCCGAAAAGAAGATCCGGATCAAGGCAGAGCCGGAGGACCAGGAGGAGACTTTTCAGCGGAAGCATTGTGGCTGTGTTCGTTGCTCGAATGTTTGTTTGAAGGCTCTGCTCGACAGGTGAGACCTGGTTTTTGTGGAGATGTGTGGGCGATGCTATGATGGTCTATTATTGCGACGGTCAGAGCGCAGGACGCAAAGCAGACGAGGAATCAAAGGCCGGTCAAAGCGGCGGCCGGTTCAAGCATTGCACTTCTTCAGCATCTCAGACTCAGACACAAGCACCTGCAGGAAGGCACGGAGACTGCCACGGAGGGAGCTCAGGCAGGGCCATGCACGGCACAGCCGCATCCGGCATAAGTGTACAAGCTGCCTGCTTTGACTTCCCGAAAATATGCTGGAAAGAATGCTCGGACCGCTCGGATGCTTCGCCAAGCGGCCCAGCCGTAGAGGAGCTGGGGCAAGTGCTCAAAGTTAAGCAGGCACAGGGGTCAATCAACAAGGGTGTTGAAAGTAGCCGCTTGATCCAGCCAGCACTTTGCACAGTGATCCGATGATAGAAAGTCGGGTTTACTTACTTAGGTCTCGTCGGAGCCTCAGCCTATGCCGCTGAAGGAGGACTGATAAGGATTGACCTCACCGCGAATTTGCTGATGCCCAGTTCGCCTGACAGGAGGGAGTTTAAGGTTTAGGGTTCAGGGTTTAGGGATGTTGTGCTGCTACTTTTTATGTGCATGCACATAAAAAGTAGCAGCATAATGTAGGGTCGGTGGCGGTGGCCGACACCGTGCTGAAAAAGGGTTTTCTTTTGCAAACATCTCGAGCAGCGGCCTCGGCTCGGACCTGGCCCAGGCCAACTGGGCGAGGGTCTAAAGGGTTTAAAGGGTTTAAAGGGTTTAAGTGAATTGAAGGGGTTGACCCCCCCGAGGGTTTAAGTGAATTGAAGGGGTTGACCCCCCCGAGGGTTTAAGTGAATTGAAGGGGTTGACCCCCCCGAGGGTTTAAGTGAA